CCAAATTTAAAGAAAAAATTCTTAATTGGTGTTAAAAATATCTATATGAGGTAAAAAGCCATGTGAAAATGACAATTTATTACTAGTGGGCGTAAAGTCCAGCGTCCTTAAAGGACGAGTCTAACAAAACAACTTAATCTTAAACAAAATCATTAAAGACCAGCCATTGGGTCGAAATGAAGTATTACTTATGAGGGATAAGAGTTGAGCCAAAGATGCTCCTAAAACCACTCCATGAAGGATCTACTTATTAGTAATAGGTAAAGAAGTCAAAGTAATGGCAAATTATGAAAGGAAATTAATCTATGAAGGGAATTAATTTAAATAAAAAGGTGGCTATTGCCTCAAATATAGCAAAAGAGTTGAAAGGAGGAAATAACTAACATGGCACAAATGTGGTGTATAAGTTGTCAAACTTATCGTGAACATGCTTATACTTATTGCGGAGGAGCATGTAATAATAACTGCTATAATCGTTGTTCGGTTTGTGGTCGAGAAACTTTGGTTAATACTCAACTAACTTCTACGAGTGTAGTTTCCACTGACGACATGATTGGAATGGCTCAACGAAGTGGCTTTAAAGGTGAAGTTTCCGTTAAGGTAGAAACTGGAAATGTAAGAACTGGTGAATATCAGTGCCAGCAATTACAATATAACACACATTCTACTTGCTATAACTGAACTTCTACACAAGGAAGGAGATAAAATATTATGACAGACAACAGAAATAATAATCAAATTCAAAGAAACCAACAAAATCCTTATTTTACTGACAGCCAAGTAATCACGGGATGTCTAGCAACAGGAGAACAAAGAGTAGTTCGTCGTTCGACCCGTTGAGACCATATGCCTTCTGCTCGAGAATTAAGAGGAGAAGTTCGAGACATGTTAAATCAAGCAAATCAACTTCCCGATAGGGGTTTATTGGAGCAAAGAAATTATGATACTGGTAATTCCTCGGCTTTAGTTCATAGTCAACAAAATGTTGCGTGGGATAATGCAGTTAATAGTTTTCGGGATATTCGAGTTCCTTTGTATGATAGCCAAGGGCGACAAATTATCGGACAAGAAAATATTAAGAGAGAAGTAGCCCGTCGAGAAGCAGAATGAAGGCAATGGGAGCGTGAAGGTAGAATTCAAAGTGGCGAGCAAAGAAGTATCAGGATAGGCAATGGAACATTTTTGCTATTGCTACATAAGGCTTTCTCGTAAAAATAGAGAACCCAGCCTTTTTCTTAATAATGGAACCAGTAGTTGAAGTTGACGACTTTTTTATGTAAAAATGGCTTGTTCTCAGTGTTATGCCAAGGAAAAGGAAAAACTTGTTTCTTGGATAGTGATATGATTTCTTTTTTGCGTGTTTTTCATAGTTATCTTTGTTATCTTTTTGTTAACTTAAAAGCTCTTGCTTCTGAAAAATATGACTTTTATCGTTCTAAGTCTTGTTTTCCCCGAACAATTCTTTTTTTGCTGGCTCATTTTTGGTGTTCTTCTAAACCTGAACCGATTGGTGCTAGCTGACCAGCCACTAAATTTTCTTTCACTCCTTGGAGATAATCCACTGGTTGAAAAATAGAATAATTAATCAAAGCTTTTAAAGTTTCTTGGAAAGATATGCTGGCTAAGAAAGAAGGCGAACACTTCGCTACTTGTTTCAAACCAAAAATCAGATTTCTGGCTTGGGCTGGTGCTTTGTTTTTTGTTTTTAATTCTTGATTAGTTTGACAAAATTCCTGATAGTTAATAATATCGCCAGTTAAATGGTTGCTATCCCCCGGTTCAGTTATTTTAACATTTCCTAACATTTGACGAACAAACAATTCAATGTGTTTTTCATTCACTCTAATTCCTTGCCCATGGTAAACTTTTCAAATTTCTTCTTTGATGTAGTTTTGACAGGATTCTCGACCGACTATTTCTAATAATTTTTCTAAGTTAATTTTGCCAGCAGTTAAAATTTCCCCTTTTTTTACAATTTGTCCTACTTTCACTTTTACTTTTTTTTCTGAATTAATGGTATAAGTAAACTCTTGGTCTTCGACTTTTTGTTTAATAATGGTTTGTTGATTTTTTTCGTCTTCAACAATTTCAGTTATTTCTCCAGTTTCTTGGGCTAAAATCGCTTGTTTTTGCTTGGTAGGAAGAACATTACCTAAGATTTCTTTCACTTTAGGCAGTCCTCGCACAATGTCTTCTTCTCCGGCTACTCCACCAGTATGGAAAGTTCTCATAGTCAACTGGGTTCCCGGCTCTCCTAGTGATTGAGCAGCAATAATTCCTACGGCCATGCCTAATTCAACTAATGATTGATTTTTGCTCAAATCACAACCATAACATTTTTGGCAAATTCCTTGAATTAAAGAACAAGTGAAAGGAGAACGAACTTTGACTGTAGAAATATTATTTTCTTGAAGGAGAGAGATTTCTTTCGCTAATAAGAGTGTGCCACTAGTTAATATTATTTTACCGTTAACCACGACATCTTGGGCTAAGTATCGGCCAGTAATTCTTTCGGCTAAGTTAGTGAGAATGCTGTCTCCTTGACCAAAGGCAGTATTTTCTTTTAGTTCTTGGAGGAAAATGCCCTCTTGAGTTTGACAATCCTCAGCGTTAATGACTAAATTTTGGACTGTTTCCACCAATTGACGAGTTAAATATCCAGCTTCAGCAGTTTTTAGTGCTGTATCCATCATTCCTTTCATGGCACCATAGACAGAAATAAAAAACTCAAAGGGATTTAGCCCTTCTTTCAAAGAAGATAAAATGGGCGTTTCAATAGTTGTTCCTTTGTAGTCAGTCATGTTTCCACGCATACCAAAAATTTGGTTTAAGTTTTCAATATTAGCCCGGGCTCCGGAATCCCAAAGATAATACAAAGAACTATTATTTTTTTGTGTCAGTTTTTGAGCAATTATTTTTTCTAAACTTTCTTTACACTCTGTTCAAAGATTATTTTTTTGCTGAATATATTCTTCTTCATTATAAAATCCTTGTTCGTAGTAGTCTTCAATTTGTTGGAGTTTGGTTCAGTTTGTTTGAAAAATGGCTTCTTTTTTTTCGATTTTCGGTAAATCAAAAAGAGAAATACTAATTCCAGATTTGGTAGCGGCGGCAAAACCTAAATTTTTTAGTTGGTCTAAGAATTTTACCATTTCCTCTTGGCTGATTGTTTTAGTTAATTTGTTAAGAAAGTTAATAATTTCTTTTTTTTTCCAGCCGGAGTGGTTTTTTAGTTCTCCATCAAGGATTGGCAAATCAAAAATATCTTCTGAAAATGGAGAAATTTGATGTTTGTTGTAATATTCTAAATCATTAATATAATAAGGAAAACTTGGAGGGAGGATTTGATTAAATTTCCACTTTCCGAAAGTAGTCAGGAGGAATTTTTGTTCCTCGGAAGCGGCAAATTGTTTTCCGGCTAGCGACAAAGGAATGAATAATGGAGAGCCAAAATTAATTTTTCCGCTTTCGTAGTCTTTTTCTAACTGGCTAGTTTCATAATAAAGAGACAGAGTGTTTCTTTTCTTATTAGTATTGCCTAATGAAGAAAGCGAATCGGTTCTCGTTAAGTAATAAAGTCCCAAGATAATATCTTGGGTAGGAGCATCAATTAAATTACCATTTTTCGGATCCAAAATTTGTGAATCTGCCATTGCTCGGACTTGAATTTCTTCTTGAGCTTTTTTGGTTAACGGCAAAAGAACTGCCATTTGGTCTCCATCAAAATCGGCATTGAAGCCTACCGTTACCAGGGGATGTAATTGAATAGTCTTGCCTAAAGTTAAAATTGGCTGAAATCCTTGCATACCCAAACGGTGTAAAGTAGGGGCACGGTTAAGCAACACTGGGCGATTTTGAATAACTTGGCTGAGGAGAAGAAAAATTTCTGAATCACTTTGCAACAAAAGTTGTTTGGCTTCCTCTAAACTTTTGCCTTTTTTTAGCAGAGAAGACAATAAATAAGGCTGATAAAGAACTAGAGCCATTTCTACTGGAATGCCTACCTGATTAAGTTCTAAACGAGGATTAGGAGAAATAACAGAACGAGCCGAATAGTCTACTCTTTTCCCTAACGAGTATTTACGTAAAATTCCTTCCTTACCGCTTAATATTTGAAGCAAACTTTTGGCTGTGCTTTGTTTGGGAAGCCCCTCGCCTGATTGTCGCTGGTCGAAAGCTTTTTGTAGTTTCCTTTGTTCATTATGAATAATGTCTAAAAAGAGCACCGGAGTTTGAAGATTCTTATTGATTTCCAAAATATTTTTTAATCTTTCGTTGGTAAGAATTAATTTTCGGTCCAGATTATTTTGTTGAGTCGTCGCAATGCTACCGTCATCCAATTTAGTGGCTGGACGCAAGCCGGCAGGAATTATCGGCACGTAATTTAAGACTAATCCAGTTAAAGGCAAATTGTGTTTGAGCAAAGACTGGATGAATCTTTTTCTGTCATTGATTTGTTCTTGGTTTGTTTTGGAAAGAAGTTCAGTAATTTTCTTCAATTCGGCTTTTAAATCAATATTTTTCAGTAGCTCAGAGAAGGCAAATGAACCAGTTTCGATCCGTACTTTTCAATTTTTCTGCAAAAATTCCAAGTAATCTTCTAAAAAAACTACTTCTAATTTAGCCTGGGTTAGTTTTTCTTGCAGTTCGGCTTCTTGCTTGGCTAACTTGTCTTTTTTTTTTTCATTTTTTTCCAGTTGCTGAGCTTTTTTTACTTGGTTTAATTCTTTTTGAATTTCTTTTTTCTTATGACCAAGCAAATTAGCTCGGAGTTCTTGGGCTTTTTTTAACACACTAGGACTGACTTTAGTTTCGCCGGCTTGAATAATTTCATCCAAAACTTGACTAATCAATTCTGGATCTATTTTATGAGATAAAATTTGCTTATTTTGGAGAACAGTAGAATTTCCTTGATCCAGCACTACATAAGCATTAAAGTAAACCAAATCTTTAATTGATTTACCAGGAATTTCTAGTAACTGTTCTAAATAAGGAAGAACACCCTTTAAAATTAAAGTATTCGTAACTGGACTGGCTAAGGCAATGTGTCCTATTCTTCAACGGCGAATATTTGAACTAGCAATTAAAACCCCGCAAGTTTCGCATTTTTGATGTTTAATCCGGCGTGATTGATCGCTGCGACAAGCACACTGATAACTTCGCGATGGACCAAATATTTGGGGACAAAAAAGTCCACCGATTTCTGGTTCAAGGGTACTTGCGTTGAGGGTTTTGCTATTTTTGATTTCTCCAAAAGAGAGTTTTTTAATTTTTTCGTCGGTTAGCCAACTAAGTTTGAGGGATTTGATGGTGGTCATAATTATACGGGGGAAATTTTGCTGAATTGCTTATAGAAGTCAATATTTTTACCTTGGTAATCTTCGGCAGTTAAGTCGAAACCAATTCCTCGTAAATATTGGAGTAAAAGATTGAATGATTCACTATTATTATTTTTAACGACTAATTCTCGTTCGCCAAAAATTAAAGAATATTGAATGAACCGTCTTAAATGCAAGTCATCAGATTTGGCTCCTGTCATTTCTAGTAAATTATAAGCGGCTCCGTGAGCTTCCAGGGCTCAAGATTCCATTTCTCCGACTCTTTGTCCGCCACCATGAGCTCTTCCTTTGACTGGTTGCTGATGAACCAAAGCATAAGGACCAGTATTCCGAGCATGAAATTTATCGGCTACCATATGATTAAGTTTAATAGTATAAATGTAGCCTACTAAAACTTTTTGGTCGAAAGGTAAACCAGTTTGACCATCATAAAGTCGGGTTAAGCCGTAATCTTTTAGCCCATTTTCTTCGGCAATTTGAGCAATTTGTTCTCAACTAGGAGTGTTAAAAGGTCGAACTAGTAATTTAGTTTTTGCTTGATGGGCGACTAATCCTAATAAAACTTCTACTAACTGACCGATGTTCATCCGTGAGGGAACACTTAAAGGATTAAAAATTATATCAATAGTTTTTCCATTTTCATCAAAAGGCATATCAATTTCAGGCACAATTTTTCCTACTATTCCTTTGTTCCCGAAACGAGTAGTTAATTTATCTCCCACTTCAATTCTCCTTTTTTGAACTACGCAAATTTCAATGGCTTCCAAATCATCAGCACTATAACTGGTACTTCCACGCTGGTAAATTTCTTCTTTGGAGAGACGATTCACTTCGTAAACAATGCTTTCTTTTTCTCCTCATGGTAAACGGAAAGAACTATCCATAAAAGAATGAGTTTCTTCGCCCATGATACTGGCGATAAGTAATTCTTCGGCTTGTTGTTTTTTGTAAGGGGTTTTTTTGCTGACCAAAATATCATTTTCTCTTACTTTGCTACCAACTTTAACTATTCCTTCTTGATCCAAGTGGCTAATTTCTGGACGAGGATAAAATTCTTCTTCTTTAGGTTTTTTATCGACTTTAAGTTTTTTGCGAACAATAATATACTTTTTAGCAAATAGAGAAGTAAATTTATCTTCTTTAATTAACCTTTCATTTACCACAAACGCGTCTTCAAAATTATTACCTCCTCAACACATAAAGGCTACTCGTGAATTATGACCTAAGGCTAATTCTTGCTGGTCCTGATAATTACCACAAGCAATAGTTTGTCCTGCTTGAACTTGTTCGCCTTTTTTTACTACTGGAGTTGAAGTAAGTAAGTTGTTAGTGTTGGAAACTACAAATTGATTAATTGAGTATTCTTGTGGTTTTTTTCCAGAATGATTGAGGATAATTTTTTCACTGTCTACATATTGAACTGTGCCAGCAGCATCGGCTTTGACAGTCAGAGAAGCATTGTCCAATAAATAGCTTTCCACTCCACTAGCCACTAATGGTGCTTCTCCTTTCAGCAAAATTACGGCTTGTTTTTGCATATTGGCAGCCATTAACATTCGCACCGAGTCATTGTGTTGAAAAAAAGGAATATTAGAACTATTAACGGAATTTAAGTGATAAAAAGAAGTATCAATAAAATTAATTTTTTCTTTGGGTACGAAAACAAATTTTCGTTGGTATCTGGCTCAAATTTTGTCTTCTTCAATCAGGTTATTTTCATTAATTTTAATATTGCAATGAGTGATATATTTTTCTAGTTCTTCTTCGGCAGTTAAATAGACAACTTCTGGGGCAATTTTTCCTTGCTTAACTAAATAATACGGAGCCAGAATTTGTCCGTATTTATCAATTTTGGCATTTAAAGTTAAATTGTGAATTAACCCTACTTTTTGCCCTTCGGGAGTTTCAACCGAACAATAACGACCATAATAAGAAGGATTAATATTGCGAATGCTTGGGCTAACATTGGTTAAATTAAAACCGCCTAAACCTAAAGAACTGATTTTGCGGATATGGGAAACTTCGGCCAAGGGATTATTTTCATTTTGGAGTTGAACCAAAGTCGAAGAGTGAAAAAAATTTCGGCTGGATTTGCTAAATTCTTGGATTTTTGGTAATTTAACTGGATCAGCTTTTTTTAGTTGGGAAATGGTAGACAAGTATTTACTCTCTAATCCTTTTTTGAAAACTCCGAATTTATTATCAAAAATATTATAAAGCAAGTCCCCAATACGGCGAATTACTTGATTTTCTAAACTGTCTTTTTCTTCATCTTCTTTTTCTAATTTTCCGATACCATGTTGTAAATTAAGAAAATAAGAGATAACAATTAATAAATCTCCTCAATTAAACCAAGTTTTACTATTATCTTTTTCAGCCGGACCTAAAACAGTAATTTTTTTTTGCGGAGAAAGGGGCGAAACAATTGAAAATGAATAGAATTGGTAATTTTCCAAAGTGAATAAAGGCAAACGATTTTCTTTAATTAAATCTTGGAGAATAGAAATTTTTTCCTCTTCTAAGACAGTTCCAGCAGAAAAAACTACTTTACCTGTGTTGTCTTTTAAATCTTCTGCCAAAGTTTGCCCGTTAAGACGAAGGAGAGCATTCATTTTCCGATTGAATTTTTGGCGTCCAAGTTTGCCAAGTAAAAAGTAAGAATTTTTTTCATTAAATAAAAACTGAGGAATAGTTTTGTCGGCTTTTTTTTCACTTTTTCCGAGTTGGAGACTGTTTTTAACAACCTCTTCTTGGTTAAACAAATTAAGTAAACTTTCTTGTGGAAACGGAATTTCAGCAAGAATTTGCGTTAAATCAAAAGTGGCTCCAGTATTTAAAAATTTCAATTTTATTCCTAATTTGCTTTCTTCTTTAGAACGAGGATTCATATTATCCAAAAAAAGTTTAATTCATGGTCCTTTAAAAGGAATTATTTCTCCATAGGGGGCTTGGCTTTCATTATCCTGAAAAAAATAAATGCTTGGTGCTCGAACAGATTGAAAAATTACTACTTTATTGTGACCATTGATAATAAAATTACCCTGTTTAGTCATTTTGGGTAGCGTACAAAAAGGAATTTCTTTAACTTGTTCGTAATAAAACTTAATAGCCAAGCGGTCGGGGGCATCACCAGGCGAAAGCCAAAGAGTTATTTTTAGTCCTTTATCGTTTACTTCTCATTTGTTTTCTTCTTTTTGTTCTAAAGTAAAAGATTTGCTAATTTTGAAACTATTCTCTTCGTCTTTTTTTGGATTTCATATTCAGACATTTAGATAATCATCAGTACTTCAACTGGCTCCACAACACTCGCAAGTGTCCATTTTTACTTTCTCATATTTTCCGCCTTTTTCGCCACAGTTTTTGCAGTCCTCTTTAAAACACTTTTTGCATTGTTTTTGGTATTGAACTTTTTCACAGTGCCATTTAATTTGTCAAGTGAGGAAAAATTTTTGACTCCAAGTAATTTTTTTTTGATAGGCTTCGAATTCAGAGAATTTTGGTTCTTCTCAACGAGAGTTTAAAATTTCCAACCTTAGTTGGTTATTATAATCTTTGAGTTGAACAGGAAAATAAAATTGTAATAACTTTGGTAAAGCCCGATTGAGAAAATATTCATAGGATTCTCTTTGCTCTTGGGCTAAATGTTTTTGGGGCAAAGACTGAAATAAATCTGAACGATTGTGATGATAATATTCTTTCCTTTGGGTTTTTCCGGAACTAATTAAGCGGTATAACATTAATTGGGGCTATATAATTATTTTTATTCACCAAGTTCTACTTTTGCTCCTTTTTCTTCTAGTTGTTTTTTATATTCTTCGGCTTTGGCTTTAGGGATATTTTCTAAAATTGGTTTTTTTTGATCAATTAATTGTTTAGCATTAATAATATTTATTTGTTGACCACCGTTAGCGTTAACAATATCTTTTACGGCTGTGTAAACTGGAATTGGTTGTTTACCAACTTCTGTAATTTTCAAAGAAACATTGGTCGAACTAGCAGTTTTTTGTTCTTCAACTTTTTGGGTAGAAGTGGGAGCGAATGTTCCTCCTTGAATATTAAATTCGGCTTCAATAGCTTTATTTAATTCTGCTAATTGGGGAGGAGTAAAACCTTTAATAATTTCCAAACACTCTTTAATTTTTTCCTGCTGATTAATTTCCATATATTAATAATTTTACGATTGTGCCAGAACGAATTGATGTTATTTTAAATTTTATTAAGGATTTTTTTTTGTAGAGCAAACATTGTTTTTTTTTCTTTTTGGTGGTCATAGCCTAATAAGTGAAGCATTCCATGCGTAAAAATGAGGTAGATTTCTTCTGCAAAGGAAACTTGAAATTCGTGAACTTGTTTTTTTACGATGGGGTAGCAAAGAAAAATATCTCCCAAATTATCGCAATTATCTAGTTTTTCTTGGTAAAGACAAGCAAAAGGAAATGTTAATACATCAGCTGGGTAATTTTTTTGGCGGTATTGTTTATTCAACTGTTGGCTTTCTGCTTCATCAACGAGGATTAGGTTAAGAAATCATTTTTTTTTTCTCGTCTAAGTTAGTATTTTCTTCTACCAATTGAGTAATTTTTTTAAGTTTATTTTTTAGCTCGGTAGTTAAGGGATATTTTTTTTTATTGACGATATTTAATTGACAAACCATTAAAAAACTTCTAGCTGGTCTTCTTTTTTATTTTTCCTTTTTCTTCATCAATCTTTAATTTGTCGATGGAAAACAAGAAAAACGATTCCTAAAAGCACAATTGCTGAAACACCGACAAACAAGGTAATTTGTCATCATTCTCATTTTTTTTTGCTGGTAGGTGGTGGAGCAACGAATTTTAGAACATCTTCTTTTAAATTTAATTGAATACGACGATTTCAAATTAGGTCAATTTGGATTCTTTCACCGGCAATTCTTTGGATAGGCTTTTGTCCGGCAGTGATTGGACTATTATTTGGGCAGTTATAAATATCAACTCGAATTCCTCGTCCAGCTGCTTCATCACTTTCTATTTTGAACTTTATATCGTCACTCTCTTCTAGCGATTGACCATCACCACCAATTTTGTCCCCAAAGCGTTCGACAATCAATTTTCCATTAATATTGTTAACACGGTTTAGAAGCTTTTTTTCTTCTTGGGAGTTTGCTGTAATTATATATTTTCCCTCCGGGGTGTGTCGATAATTCCCTATTTCTCCTAGGTGATAAGTAAATTCGCTAGTTTTGTCCGGAAACTCATTACCATTTTTGGTGATAAGTGCTTTAAGTGTAGCCTTTGTGCCATCGTTTACTCTACTAGCTTGTTTCATTGGTTCTTCGTTTTTGTCGTATAAATATAAACAAAATTTAACTTCAAAGTTCTTTCCTAATTCAACCTCTTCTTTTGGTTCACCAACCATTATGTCGAACTTCTCATTTTCGTCCTTATTCATATTAATTTTTTACTATTCATTACTTTTTTTTTCTTTGTTTCTTTTTCATAAAGTAGATTTTATCGCGACACTTTTTGCGTAAATGAGTGGTGATTCTTTGGAAATGTAAAAATGCTTCTTCAGCTTTGTCTTTATTTTTAATTGCCACTTGGATTTTTGCTTGGGACATTAAAATATTTTTATGTTAACTTTGCCAAATGCTGTTGAAGTTTAATCAGAGACCTGAACCCCAAAGCACCTAAATAAAAGTAAAAATATTACTTATGGCAAGAGATAATAATTTAGACCAATTTTATACTAACCCTTTAACGGCTAAAAAACTCACTAGCATTTTTGCCGAAGAAGTAAAAAAACTAGGCCATCAAAAAATTAATTTTATTGAACCGTCTGCTGGAACTGGAAACTTTTACCAAGCCATTCGGGAAATCAACAAAAACAGCCAATCTGCAGTAAAAAGATATTAGCTTTCGACATTGAACCAAAATCCGAACAAGAAAATATCATCACCGCTAACTTTCTCAAAGTCCCCTTAACTAAATATTTAGAAAAAAACTCTCCTACTAGAAAATAGCAAATCCAGATTATAAGATGAATAGGCACGTTACAGGTAAAAGTGTTTACCGTTTTAAGAACCCACCAATAATTAATCTTGAAGACCGAGACTTTCCTCTGGCAGCTTTGGAACTAAAAACTAAACAGTTAGAACAAGAAATAAAAGCCATTGAAAACAACCCCACTAATTATTTCCTTTAATAATTGGCGGAGGAATTATTTTCATCTTAGTAATAATTATTATTTACTTCCTAACAAGAAGCAGAAAGCAAAAATTATAAAATATACTTGGCTAGTGTAAAGTTGTATGTCATTGCTAAATTTATTTAAAAAAAGCCTTGTTAGCTCAATGGTAGAGCAATTGACTCTTAATCAATAGGTTGGAGGTTCGAATCCTCTACAAGGCACCATAAAAATGTTATATTATGACAAAATCCAAATTAATCAGTGTCACCTTTGCCAACAAAATAAGGAAGGACTAGTTTTTATTTTATATTAGCAAGTTTTAGCAAGAATTTTCTATTAATTTAATAACTGGTTCTCATAAATCAATTTCAAAAGTGTTTTTCTTACTTTGAACTACCATGGCTATTCTTTCTAATCCGCCGCCCACGTCTACACATTTTTCTTTTAAGGGCAAATTAATTTCTCCTTGATGGTAAAATTCCGGAAAAACAATATTACAAATTTCTAAAAATCTTTTGTTATCTAAATCACTAGCATTTTTTGGTATATCCTGGTTAGTTTGAAAGTCATAATAAATTTCGGTATTATATCCTCAAGGGCTGTTGTCTCCTCCCATGTCTCAAACATTAGTTTTTTTTGAGCCAAAAAGAATATGGTCGTGAATGATATCTTTTTGTTCTTTTCAAATTTGATAAGTAATTTTATCTTCTTGGTAAACTGTAATAAATAATCTTTCAGGTTCCAAGCCTAACCATTTTGGCGAAGTGAAAAATTCCCAAAAATATGGAATAGTTTCTAATTTGAAATTTCCACCAATGGAAAAGACACCAAGCATTTCAAAAAGCGTTTGATGATATGAATGCTGAGTAATATTTGCTAAATCATCAGTACGGATCACTCTTTGACAGTTAACTAGATTGCGAGCCGGAGCCAAAGACGGATTGCTGAAATATTTTTTTAGAGTAGCCACTCCGGAATTAATTCACAAAAGTGAAGGATCGTTTTGAGGTACCAAAGATACTGGTTCAAGCAAGTAATAACCTTTCTGCTGAAAAAATTCTAATCATTTTTTTCTAACTTCATGGGTGGAAGTTTTCAAACTTTTGCGAGAATTTTCTGTCTTCATATGATATTTTTAACCATTTAACTAATAAGTTTGATGTTAATATTAACTTAATTTTTTTAGATGCGTGGAGGCACAAAATTAACTATTCACCACTTAACAATTTCAAGACACTTTTAAAATCGGATTTTTGGCAAAATTCAATTAAATTTGGATTAGTTTTCCATTGGTCTCAATTAAAATCGCATTGCTCTCAATTAATTGGCAAAATAAGGTCATTTTTTAAAGTAATCAATTGCTTATTCTGAAAAACTAATTCTTGATTTTTGGTTAATAATTCTTGAACTTTTGGAGATAATTGCTGACCGTTTTGGTAAATTTTTTCGATGGTTTTAAAACTTTGGATTAACTGTTGGGCTGTTTTTATACCAATTCCATTAACTCCTTGAACGTTATCAACTTGGTCTCCTAGCAAACAAAGATAATCAATATAATTACCGGGAGAAAAATTATATTCTTGCCAGAAATCTTGTTCGGTAAAAGCAATAATTTCTCCTTGAGAATACTTGTAAATTTTCACCTGAGGAGAAAGAAGTTGCATCAAATCCTTGTCCTGAGAAAAAATTACAAAATTTCAGTCTGGGTGAAGTTTTCTGTTTTGGTCTAAAAAAGAAGCAATTAAATCGTCGGCTTCAAAATTAACCAATTCCACTACTGGAACTTCACTCTGCATTAGCAAATCTTTGAGAGTATTTAATTGTTGAAGCAGTCTTGGTGGGGTAGCCAAACGATGAATTTTATATTCTGGATAGATTTGGTGCCGAAAATTAATTTTGGTACTGTCAAAAGCAACCAATACTTTTTGGTAATTATTTCCACGAAGCAAACTAATTAGTACCCGGAGAAAAATGAAAATTGCTTTTTGTTCACTTTCTCAGGGCAAATGTTGAGAAGCATGATAACAACGATGGAGCAAATTATTTCCATCAACGAGGAGACAATTTCTTGTTTCTTTTTCCATAAATTTATATTTAACTTTTTATTTTTTGAATGTTAACTTTTCCTAACAATTAACACACTTGTTCGCGAAATAACCAACATGGGGAGGGGGGTTTTTCATTTACTCTTGCGCCCTAGGCCAAGTAGATTTTAATTTATTAGATAAAAAATATTATGCTAATCCTTGAAGAACAAATTCAAAAACTTAAAATTCTTGTTCAGCAACAAAATTTTGCCCCAGAGGATAAACAGATTTTGTTATAATCACAAGCTTTTTTCATGAGTTTATTTAAAATTTTCTGTCCAAGGGGCAAAGTAAAATCAAAACTTTGCTAGAAAACAAAAAAATAACTATATAAATTGTTAAAAATCAGTTAAAATTATGAGCGTTGAGAAGTGTGTTTTATGTGGATATTTAAGTGACGGTTCTCCTTATCGGCGTTTATTCAAACTTAACAATAAAAAACTTTGTCGTAGTTGTGCTATTAAAACTTATGGTTATGAAGAAACCCTTAATCGTTTGAGCCAAACAGAAGGATTTATTTGTGATTTTTGCCATGAAAAGAGAGTAATTGGCTTTAACACCCCTCTTTCGAATAAAATCGTAGAGGGAAAAAGCAAGTGTGGAGTTTGTTATTATCAAAGCAAAAGTGCTGAATGCTGCGAAATCTTAAGTTTTTGCTAGTCAGGTTCAAAAGAATATTATTAATGCTGAAGAAAAAAGAATGATTTAATGATTTTGCTTATCGCTTTTTTGAGGCTTTGCAAGAAAAAGGTAAACTATGCAGCGAATAAGTATATCAAAAAACCCAAAATTACACACACACACACACACACACAGAAAGAGAGAGAAAGCATTTGAAAGCAACCTCATGTTTATTTAGCCTTTGCTAGTGGAGCCGGAATTGTTTTATTAGGATTAGGGATTTATTGATTGTTAAGGAGAAAAAGATCATAAAGAACTTTTTTGTTTAATTTACTCTTCTTCCCCTGATTGGTGAGTTTTTTTGGCTTGGCAAATTCTGCAGAGCGGAAGATAATTTCCAGTATTGCTACTTTTGATTTTTTGCCCTTCTGGACCAGGTAAAAGTTTTTGAAAATAGCCAGAAGAATGAGGAATAGTCTTGTGACATTCTATGCACTTAGTATTAGCGCAGTCAAAACAAATTACTCCTTCTTTTTCTTCTTTGTTAACATAGTGAGGGGTATCAAATATTTTAATTTGACATTTATCACAAACTAAATCGTGAAATTCTTCGCGACAACTTGAAGAACAAAATTGGTTTCCTTGGCTATCGGTATCTTTGCTGAAAAAACTTCACCAACTAATTTTTTTCGCACAAGTCGCACACTGGTTTTTACCTTCAATTGGCAGTGATTGAGCATTAGAAACAGCATTTAACTTTTCCCAAGTCAATTCTTCCGAAGGCAAGCGAAAATTACGAATCAACTTTTGGGCATATTTTCTTTTGCGAGGAGGGATTAATTTCAGTAACTCATTACAAATGATCTGGATTATTTGCTTTAAATCTCTTTTGTCAAAAT